TTCAGCAGATGAGCAGTGATGAAGAAAAGAGGCTTTTTCCTCCCTTAGTGCCAACCTCAGTGTCAGTGATATATATTCATCAAGGGCAAAAAATGGTAGCAGCAGCTCTAGGCATTGTACCCTCACACGAAAAAATTCAAGAGTAGATGGGAGAGGTGTGCATCTTGACTGAGGCTTACTATGTTTCTCTTTTTAAATTAAAAAATAATAATTTACATACAGTAAAGTATATAAATCTTAAACATATGGTTGAATGACAAATGCATACAAGTTTTGACAAATGCATACATCTAACTCCATCCCTACTGAGATACAGAGCATTTTCATCACCCCAGAGAGCTCCCTTGAACACTTTTCTAGTTAATCATCACCACCGCCACAACCCCTAACTCCACCCAGAGGCAACCATAGCTCAGATCTCTTAAATCATTCTTTCTTTTTCATAATCGGGGATGAAAATCTCTCCAAGAGGCCTTCTGCCTCCAGCACTTTACCTTATATCTCCTTGGCCAGAACTGTCTCTCTTCCAACCTTTAAGTCAATCACTGACTAGAGAGTGATTATAATACTGTATTATAGACCATTTAAGATTCATCATTCATTGGGGCTGGGGGGGGGGGCCCATCTGACCTCAACACAGAGCTGAAAGTCCAAATTAAAAAAAAAATTTTTTAAGCAAGGGAGAAGAGGGAAATGGCTACACACGCACCACACACACGAGGGCATGTACACACACACACACACATTTTGTTAGTCTACACATGCAGCCATCCAATATTTGATCTATTCTTCCAACTTTATCTCACATGCAAATATGCTAAGTATATGTTCTAAGTTTGTGTTCATGAAAGTCAACGATTAAAGTACAGATGACAAACAAATGCAGAGACCTCCCTGAAGTTAACATCAATCTACATTCTACTGGTCAAAGTTCTTCATCCAGGTCCAAATATAATAAAATTTATACTTGTCTGGGCCCCAAATCTCCTTTTCACCCACAAAGATATCATGAGAAATTACATTCAACACTCTATTTCCTACCAAGGTACACAGAGGTGTGTCAGTGGAAACGTTTAGTACTCTCTCCCCTTAAAAATATCTTTCTGCTTTTTGATACCTCAGTAGTTTTCATGAGCCTAAGTTTATATCTCGTTCATTCTTGTGTTTTTATCACTTGTTTTATGCCTGTTTTCTTTTTATACGCATCTTTCCATTGAGGTCATGAGAATGATCAGAACAAAAACTTGTTTTTCAGTTGGCCTTCCATTTTTCCTGTTTTTCAGTATGATAATTTCATTGTGAGCCTCCCAATTCCTTTTTAATCCAGCTTCCTCTTGGTTTATATCTAGTGTCTGTATGATCCTCTGTCCAGTTTTATATATCCAACTGTGGCTAGCATGTTATTATTCTGGACCCTAAAATGGTATTGACACATCCTATTAAAGTAACTTCTATAACTTCCATTTCATCCTTATTGGTTACAAGTAAGTTTATAAAATCACATTCCCCTGTTGCATTATCTACCCTCTCAGCGATAAGACAATCAGCAAGATCAGGAAAAAGAATGCATCAAATATTTTGCTTTAGGAGAATGATGTTTCCAGAGTATGGATGTGTAGTTTCCAATCATGACATCTATCTGCCTCTAGGCCAGATGCAAAACTTGCATTAGAAGAGTATCAGTCATATTTACCCACCTAAGATATCTGTATTTGGCTCCCACAGTATTATCAGCTTATGTGTCTTATCCTGTACTCTCATGCTGTGTTCTCCATCATGCTTAAACCTACGAGCTCAAGGATTTCCAAGCAGGGCACTCTTCCTCATCTCTCAACAAGTGTGATTTTATATGCACAGTGTATAAATTCCTGTTGACATATTCCAGAGATTATCTATAGCTCAGCAAGTTTGACCTGCCTAGGAGATATTTATCTATTTTCATTATAGTTTAGGATTACCTTATTATTTCATCAGCCCTACTTGAAAGGTAGGAGTGTTAAAAAGTATTTATCAGAAAGAGAGCTGAAACAAAGTCAATCACTTTTTAACATTGTAAAAAGTGTACTATAGGGTTCAAAGGAACAAATTTACTATAGGGTTCAAATGTACTATAGGGTTCAAAGGAACAAATTTAATTTTTTTTCAATTTAAAAATAATTTAACATTTTTATAGCAAAACTGATATGTGTTTTTTTTTTTTCTTATTTTCTCTTGCAAATCACTGATATTTTCTCAGCTTCCGTGTTACCTCCACCTTAGGTTACAATTGATATCCTCCAAAGTATTTCACTTTACCTGAATATTGTTCTTCCCTTCCCTCAAATTTCAGTTTAAAGTTCTCTTTATAAGGTTGGCAAGATTCCTGTTAAGTGTGTTCCTCTCAGATGTATCTACCTCTTACAGGGAGTCTATTGTATTAACTGTATACAAAGCTGCATAAAGCTGCAGTTAAGAAATCTAGTTTGGGTTTTCTTTTGCTGTTTTAATAGGGTACTACTCGATACCAATTACCTTTTATTTCTTTTTCAAAGTGATGGCCTCAGTTCGAAGAAGAAATACCCCTTCAATACCCACACCAAGTACCTATTAGCATTCACTGACATGTAAATTAACAAGAGTAATAGTATGGTCTGTGAATTTGATAAGTCTCAGGAAACTTCCCGAGAGAACCTCCCATATCAGCTCCACCATGATTTACCTTAATATAAATGAGAAAGAAAGAAGATGCCTTCTCTCTTTTCCCACATCTGGAGGATTTATTTTGGATATTTATCCTCTGACTCTCAACTGTAAGTCTTTAGAGACCTACATGCATTTATCTAATGTGTAAAAGGTATGTTATAAATTATCAGCCAATGTATAAAAAGATTTAGATAGTATTGCCAAGGATTCTTTATAGGTTTAAAAAATACTTTCCTTTACTGATGATAGTTACCAAGGACTACATATATGGGACTTAAAATCTGAGGTTGAACTTGAAAATGTGCCAGATACAAGAGAGACAAAAAGGTAAAGTAATACGATCTAAAGGAATCTTGCAATCCACTCAGTAAGCTAGCACTCCTGAACGCAGACATAAACACATATACCTGTTGTTAACACCAGGCTTCCATAATAAGGTGGTGCACCCAACTGACTCATTTTTTTTGAGATGACTTTATAGCAGCAAGGAAACATAAATTCACAATTATTCTACAATCTTAGAAGAATATATATCAGTTAACAAACACCTGATATAGAAAATAGATTTCATAAAAAGAATTCAACATAGGAATAATCCACGTTATATCCATATGGAATTTTTATGACGAAGAATGATTGAAATAAAATTATCTTCCATTCAAAATACAGCAGTCCTGAAAATTAAATATCAGAGTCACTTACTTTTACTATGATAAGCCTCGCTCGATTTTCACGCCTCTGGTTATCATTTTCTGTATACTCTACTTCGAACAGGGTATTATAATTTTCTAGTATTTTAGCCATTATCTTGTTGCAGAGGTCTTGTTCTTTCATGCCTTCAAGCCCAGGTGGTACACTAGAAATAAGAAAAAAAATTGAGAGTAATTACTTTGTTAAAACAAAATTCCAGCACAGCTGTCTCAGGCTTATATTTTGACAATGATTGATCAGACTTCTTATAAGGACACAAGAAGTCCTTATGATGTTGTTGGGATGACTGGTGTGTTCCCAAGATCTGAACTAATAGCTTTTATTGAATAAGAAAAGTGCATGTTGTTCGAAAGAGGTATGGGTGAACATGGGTGCAACGATTTGTATATATTAGAAATTACTATACATAAGGTAATATTTGTACAAATATAAAAACAATACAGAACAGGTGTTACAACAAAAAGAATGAGTGTTTTATCATGACAGAATTACCCAGCCACACAAATAATAGAAACACAATCTTTAAGGATTTCTTAGATAATATACAAAAGGACAAAAAGTAAAGGAAAAGATGAATGCTGTTAGGAAAAAATACTGATAATCGTTGAAGCTGAGTGATAGGTACATAGAAGATTACACTACTCTGTCTTCTTTGGAGCATGTTTAAAAATTTCCCTATTTAAAAAAGGTGAAAAAAACAAGAATGCATAAGATGCCATAATATAAATAAGATAAATACCTCTTCACTAACATGGACAACTGACAGAAGATTTGTAGTTAAGACTACGTAAAAAATTCCTTTTCAAAAAGAAAGTAAAATTTGAAAAAAAGACAAAAACCATGAGTTGAAAAACACACGGAAGAAAACACTTGGACAATTATTTTATGAAACCATACTTAACCTGATTGAGTAACCAGTGACATAAATTTAAAAAGCAACACTGAGGTATTTAATATTCATCTGCATTAGTTTCCTGTGGCTGCTGTAACAAATTACCACAAACTGGGTGGCTTAAAATAACAGAAATTTATTCTTTCGCAGTTCTAGAGGCCAGAAGAGTGATCAGTATCACAGGGCAGAAATTAAAGTGTGAGCAGGGGCACACTCCCTACAGAGGCTCAAGGTGAGAGTCTGTTCCTGGCCCTTGGTGGCTGGCAGCGTTCCTTGGCTATGGTTGCATCATTTCAATCTTCAATCGAGTCTTGCATTTTCAAATTTCTCTCTGCTGTGTCTTTACATGGCCTTCTTCTCCATGTATGTCTAATCTCCCTCTACTTCCTTCTTACAGGATACATGTATTGCATTTAGTACCCACCAAGATAATCCAGGATAATCGCCTTATCTCATGATCTCCATCTTAATTACAACTGTAATTAACTATCAGAAAGAGAAATTAAGAAAACAAACCCATTTACAATTGCATCAAAAAGAATAAAATACCTATGAATAAATTTAAGCAAGGAAGTAAAGTACTTGTATGTTGAAAACTACGAGACATTAATGAAAGAAAATGAAGAAGACACAAATAAATGGAGAGATATTTTGTGCTCATGGACTGGAAAATATTGCTAAAATGTTCATATTATCCAATGCAATCTACAGATTCATTGAAATCCCTATCAAGCTTCCAATGGCACATTTCACAGAAATAGAAAAAAAAATTCTAAAATTTGTTTGAAACCATGAAAGACCACAAATAGCCAAAGCATCTTGAGAGAGAATAACAAAGCTGGAGGCATTGCACTCCCCAATTTCAAACTATATTACAAAGTAATATTAATTAAAACAGTGTGGTATTAGCGTAAAAACATTTAACCAATGGAACAGAATAGGGAGGCCAGAAATAAACCCATGGCCATATAGTCAATTTTTGATAAAGGAAAAAAGAATATACAATGGGGAAAAGACCATCCTTCAATAAATAGTGTTGAGAAAACTGGACAGCCACATGCAAAAGAATCAACCTGGATTACTATCTCATACCATACACAAAAATAAACTCCAAATCATAAAACTCCTAGAAGAAAACATAAGTGGTCAACTCCTTGACACAGGTCTTCGGCAATGATTTCCTGAATCTGACATAGAAAGAAAAAGCAACAAAGCAAAAATAAACTAGGGGAACTACACCAAACTTAAAAGCTTCTGCACAGTAAATCATCAACAATATGATAACACAACCACTGAATGGGAGAAAATAATTGCAAGTCATATATCTGATAAAAGGTTTATATCCAAAATATAGAAATAATTCATACAACTCAATAGCAAACAAACAATCTGATTTAAAAGTGGGCAGAGGATCTAAATAGACATTTTTCCAAAGACATATAGATGGCCAACAGGTTCATGAAAAGATGCTTGACAGCGTCAATCATCAGGGAAATGCAAATCAAAAGCACAATGAGACATTGCCTCACATCTGTTAGGGCTGCTATTATCAAAAAGAAAAAAAATAAGAAGTATTGGTGAGGATGAGAAGGGAACCCCTGTGCACTATTGGTGGAAAAGTGAATTGGTGTAGGCACTAGAGAAAACAGTATAAAGGTTCCCCGAAAAGTAAAAATAGACCTACCATACGATCTAGCAGTTCTAGTTTGGGGTATTTATTCAAAGGAAACAAAACACTCATTCAAAAAGTTGTATTTAACACATGTTCACTAAAGCATTATTTATAACAGCCAAGAAATAGAAACAAGCTGTGTCCACTGGAAATAAATGGATAAAGAAAATGTAATATATATATATAAACAATAGACTATTATATAGCCATAAGAACGAATGAAATCTTACCATCTGCAACAACATGGATGGACTTTGAGGGCATCATGTTAAGTTAAATAAGTCAGAGAGAGAAAGACAAATACCATATAATCTCTCTTACATGTGAAATGACTCACTTCCTGTTTTTGAAACTTACTAAAATTTTATTATGCTACGCAAAGTAATCAAAACAGTGTGGTATTGGCATAAAGCAGACATACAGATCAATGGAATAGAATAGAGAGCCCAGAAATCAAACCTTGCACATATGATCAAATAGTTTTTGAAAAGGGTGCCAACACAATTCAATGGGAAATGAATGGTCTTTTCAACAATTGCTACTGGGGAAACCGGACATCTACATGTAAAGAGTAAAGTTGGCCCCTTATCTATAAACAAAAGTTAACTCAATGGATCAAGGATCTAAAACAAAACTCTTGGAAAAAAACATAGGACAAAAGCTTCACAGCTTTGGGTTTGGCAATAATTTCTTGGCTACGATACCAAAGGCGCAGGCAACAAAGAAAAATAGACAAATTGTATTTCATGAAAATTAAAATACTTTGTGCATCAAAAGTCACCATCAACAGAGTAAAAACACAACCTGCAGAATGAGAGGAAAAATATTTGTAAATCGGGTACCTGATAAAGGGCTAATGTCTACAACATATAGAGAGTATTAAACAGACATTTCTTCAGATATACAAATAGCCAATAAGCACATGGAAGATACTGATATCACTAATCAATAGAGTAATTCAAATAAATACTATGATGAGATACACCTCACACCCATTAGGATGGCTACTATCAAAAAAACAGAAAACAACAAGTGTTGGTGAGGATGTAGAGAAACTAAAACTGTGCACTGTTGGTGGGAATGTAAAATGGTATAGTTGCTATGGGAAACAGTATGATGGTTCCTTAAAAAATTAAAAATAGAATTACCATCTGATCCACCAATTCTACTTCTGGGTATATACTGGACAGAATTGAAAGCAGGGTCTAGAAGAGATATTTGTATGCCAATATTCATAGCAGCATTATTCACAATAGTTAAAAGGTAGAAGCAACCCAAGCATCCATCAATAGATAAATGGATAAACAAAATAAAGTATATACATACAATGGAATATCATTCACCTTTAAAAAAGGAATTTCTGACACATGCACAACATGGATGAACCTTGAGGACATTTACGCTAAGTGAAATAAGCCAGTCTCAGAAAAGACAAATATTGTATGATTCTACTTACACGAGGTACTTAGAATAATCAAAATCATAAAGACAGAAAGTTTAATGGTGGTTGCCAGGGGCTTCTGGGGAGCAGTTAAGGTTTAATGGTATAGAGTTTCAGTTTTATAAGATGAAAAAAGTTATGGAGATAGAAGGTAGTGATGGTTTCACAAAACTGTGAATATATTAAATACTACTGAATTATACACTTAAAATGGTTATGACTGTAAATTTTTTTTTGTATTTTATCACAGCTAAAAATCAGAAGGAAAAAAAAAAGAAATGTATCTTCTCTACATTGCCATAAGGCAACTAAGGACACTGACATCTGGTTATAATGATCCTCAGTTATTACTGCTTAATGAAAGGCAGATAGTGATAAGGCAAGATACATTTGCAATAATTGTATTTGCGTTGATAACATGTTAAAAGCTATACACTATATTCACTACAGCACTTAACAAAAATAAGATTTATTAATATTTACTCTATAATAGAACTACTTTGTTCACCTTATTATATCTTGAAGTTTGGATCTACATTAATAGCCAACTTTAAAAAAAATATTTAAAAAAATTAGATTAGCGATATTATAATTTCTCCTGTTAAATAACATTTAAAGTTTATTTTATATGGCTGATTTTACTTACCTACATGTTCTTAAGATGTTTTCATGAACGTCATACCAAAAGTCTGTGCTATTTACTATAAAATTTTATGTGCTGTGAAAATTTGGATCTAACTTTGAATATGTCTCATACTCACTCAAGGGTCATGTGTCAGGCATGTCAGGTGGGACAATGGTTAAAGACTACGGCTCTCATCTATGCATTCTCAGTGGTAGTAATATTGCCCCCAATGGGGACAAACTGGTTCCTGGGGGAGAACATCCTCTTTTTATAGATACGTATAGTATATATAGTACAGAGAAATATATAGTATATCTATAGTAATTTGGAAAAAATCTAAAAAGGCTTCTTAGAGTAACAATAACAGAAAAACAAACAAACAAAAAAAGATGAGAAACACTGCTCTAATCCCTCTGTCCAGTATGTCACAGTGAAAGTTAAATACTGACTCCTAATATAGGATCCTCTTGGAGGTAACTGAACAATGCAGAGAAGAGTAGGGCTCATACGAGCAA